GCTGAAAAAGTTTGAAATTCTCCACATTTCTCATCATTAAAATCTCTTCTGACCTACTTGCGATCGTTTTCCTCCTCCGAAATCTTCCCCCTTTCTCCATTAATGCTGCCGTCCTCCTTCCCCCCCTGTTGGCCATTTTCCACTCGAATGCACACGGGTGACACTTGAATACTGTCTCCTCCCCAGTTCAGTTTGCTGGTTTACTCACCTTTTTCCAACAATGTGATTGGCCCCGCCGCTTCAAGCGACAGCTGTTTCTACTCGCTAGGATGAAGACCTGTGACGAAGCATTGTCCGGCTCCCGTAATGTTTCAGACCAATCGGATTCCACCTTAACTGGCTCCTGAAGTCATATGAAAGCAGCGGTCACCCCCTCTCCCACTGCAAAACATGCCCTCCCAAGAATGGCTTTACGCCGCGTGGTTTTGTTGAACGTGCGTCGTGCTCCTATCTAGAATCGGGGAATTTGGCCGACTCCTTTGTTCTTCACAGTGTAGCCATAGTTAAGGTTTGTATTTCGTTTATGCTTTACCATTTGTTTAATAGTACCGTACTACACTGAAATCTGTTATCATTGGGGTTTGACGTATGCGTTACAAATAGCCACAGGAAGGAAGTAACAAGAAGCAGTCTGCAATCGCGAAATTTAAATCTGGTAGATTACGACACGGCCATCAATGGTTAGCACCCATAATGTTATCTAAGTCTGTACAATAACCAAATGTACTCTCCTTCTGCAGCTCCGACTTGTAATAAGAGAAGATAAGCAAGTTGTTTTGCTTTATGACAGTAATTGGAACGATTTGAACTGCATCAGTTGGAGTCAGCCTCCTTCTTAAATATATCACAAAAAGGTTCTTAAACACAGCTCCACACCGTTTTAGGGACTACCCGGAGCTGATTTATCTCCCGGTCATCCAACGTTCTTCTCAACCAATAAGTACCTATTCGTAACCGGCAATACTATCTGCCTATACCAAAGACAAGAGATACTGGAATGACAATTTTTGGCATATAAGCCGTCGTCAGCCAGTCATACCCAGGCCCAAGTGGCGCTACCTCGAACCTCGAACTCGCGACTTTTGATCAGAGTTTAACGCCCTGAACATTGAGCCACGAGTTCGTTGTCTTGCTGGTTTGGGTCAGGAGACATTGACACTCTTTGGCAAACGGTCACCGACCACTAGCGGAATGACTTCTTCCGCTTGGAGCTTCTGACCCTGGCAGCAGCTATAGCAGCAATTAGTATACGCAGATAGTACTGAGTACAAAGACAAGGGAGACTGGAATGATCACTAATGCCTTATTAATCGTCGTCAGCCTGTCATACCCAGATCCACTCGAGCCTCGATCTCGCGACTTTTTGGTCAGAGTCTAATGCCCTGACCATTGAGCCCCGAGTTCTTTGTCGGGCAATATTGCCACTCATTGACAAACGTTCACCTACTGCTAACGGAGCTCACTAATATTTGCCTGTAATACTATCCGCCTATACTAGTCGTTGCTACAGCTGCTCTCAGGGGCCGAGACATGAGGCCCAATGTAAAGGCCAGGCAGGAGAATTCACTCCGCTAGCGGTCGGTGAACGTTTGTCAAAGAGTGTTAAATGATAGCATATCAGCTAGGCAACTTTTATCAATTCCTTCCGCAGATTCCACTGGTTTTTGTGTCCAGCTGTTCAATTGCTAAATGTCAACGTCTACAGCCCGAAGGCATCCCTCGATGGGTTTGGCACTACCTAATCCACGTTGCTTCCTATGAACACATATTCCCTTGTTCGCTATCCGCTTCACCCTTGACTGGTCAATGCTTATGAGGAGCGAGAACCGAGCTCTCTGGCATTTTGTTACAAGCTGATTCATGGGCGGTGGGAGGTGATCCCTTGTGATTGGATAAATGGAGTACCAGGTCTGACTTACGACCTCGAATTTTAACGCCCTTCACGCAAGCCCTGTTGAAGGCAAAATCACAGCCCGAGGTTTTTACTATTCAAAGAGACCATTATCTTCATCCATCAAACAATGGATGGTTGGGGGACAAGTATTAAGTCACTATAATCAGCTATGTGTTCTGTTATTTTCCGAAGCAGGTTTCAACTACGTGCTCTTCACATCATCCGTCGAGAATTCTACTCATGCTGAATAATAATAATAATAAGTGTAGTTTTACCAGCTACGTTCTTATAAATATCTGACCTCTTCTCATTGCACACTGATGCTTTGATGTCGCCACATTACTGTCTGTCTGTGGAGTGTGTTAATGATTGTATGGTTGTTGGCCACCATAGTAAAGTCTGGCCTCGTCTTCAGTTTCTGAAGGATCGCAGGGTCTAACCTCTCAGCATGGTGATTTGAAAATGCTCTGCTACTCTAAAATCCGAAACCAGTCGGGCGGGTTTTCCAACCGTGACTCCCTCCCCTTCCTTTACCGTTAGGCATTCGTCCCAATTAACAATACCTTCATATTAATCTGTCATCAAAACGCTCATCCTATCTTAAGATTGGATCCTTTTTCAATAAATTTCGTAAACGTGTTCCTTAACTTCGTCAGTTATGTTCTAAGCACACATCTGCAGCTTCAGTCTGGAAATTTGTAGATGCCTACATCCTCTCACTCACTCTTGACTGTTCTTTGGTTAGTATTCCTGCTTTGCTGGCAAAGGATAGGCTAGTTTAGGGACACTTTAGTCTTCCGCCCCCACTGTTTCTTGTATCCTTTTAGTTGAAATAAAAACAAAGTGACACTTAACAATGGTCAGGCAATTTGCTGATCGAATTCTGAATAAATGTTTTCAAAAGAAAATGAAGATGCGACCACTGGAACAAGAGTTTTATTTTCCTGCCGTTTCGGATTCCGTCGGGAATCCTTAATCATAGGTAATGGTAGGTTAGTCTGAGTTATGCGCAGGTAGGGGTGAAACCTGCACAGATTGCACGGTTTTATAGTGCTTAGTGGTTATCCGCGTTCGTATTATTTGTCCTTGAATACACCAGATCCGGTTTAGTTGTGGACAAAGCAACTACGTCGGAGAAACCGGGA